TTTACTCTTCAGTCAAAGTTTATGAACGTATCATTCTCACCACAACCTCTCCAGGTTTAAGTATTATCCTTCAATTTATCTTGATTCATAGTTTGTTATATATATATTATATATATGTATATGTATAATACTGTTAGAACTGATATAACACATGCATTCCCTTTTTAACACAGCCTGATAGTGACTTTCTGACATTTTCCAAATACAACTAATCCCAGAAGAGACTGCTTTTCTGATACAGCCATTGTCGTTCTATGAGTACCAACACATGCTGTCAGTAACTATCAATAAATATCCCAAATTATGAGAAACTGCAGAGTGAAATGTCTCAGAGACCAAAAGGGAATCCCATAAGGATCAGGAGACAACAAATAAATCTGGCTTCTGGACCTACAGCAAATTCATTTATTCATTCATTCATTTTAGTCATATGCAGGATGATAAATTTGAAATAACATACATAAAGGGCTCCATTGATTATGAACAGAACATTGGGTGCCGACAAGATTTTCTTAATGCATGAAAGATTAAGAATGATCACTTTTGATGTTAATTGGAAGAATTCTCTGTAGGGTAGGTGCACTCTTGACAAATGAGTTCTCAGTTAATTTCAGGGCATGGTAAGTGAGTGGTACACTCTTTAAGAACCAGTTTTCTCCTCATTTATCAATACTCTGCCCTATAATGCTATGTTTTAAATTGCTTTTGCTTATGATTACTTTCTTAAAAAATTAAATTCAGAGTGAGGTCAAGTATATAACCACTTTATTTTTCATTGGCAATTAGTAGATTACAAAAACAGAGAATTTATTATTTCCCTCTGGGTTATCCTGAGAAACTCCTAATAATGCTGCACAACCTGATGCACATCACCTCGACTGTGAAATCTCAGCCATTCCCAGGCTGTGTTAGTCATCTCTGCTTCTACAATTCCTTGTGGCCATCTCTATTATACCACTTACCACGTGGCTCTGAAATCAGCTGGTGCCATGTTGCTGTTCCCAACTAACTGGGAGCCCCTGAAGCCAAAGGGTGTGGTTTAATTCATCCCTAGCATGTAGCACATGTAGCTTGTCACCAATACATTCTCACTGAATAAATGGATTGATGAACAGGTGCAATAGTTGCCGCGTAGTACAGACACCCTGAGTACTTTTGGCTTGGCAACTATCTCAGCAAAAAGATGGTGTGAATGTGAACTAAGGCAGCGTTGGTGGGAAATAAGGCGTGTTAGGCTCTTTCGTCTACCAAAGTTAATAGAAGTTCACTTTAAGAAGACACAGGGATGGAAGGAGAATGGCTTTGTCAAGACAACTTAATATCCTTTTGCTGATCTCTTTTTTTTTTGTTTTGCACTTTTTTGATTGCAAATAGAACTCTAATTTATTGGGGCAGCATTATGTCCCAATTGTTGGGATTTTTTTTTAACTACATTTCTCCGCCTCCCTTGCAGATCTAGTGGTCAGGCAATGCGGTTCTGGTCAATATACATAACCAAAGACTGTTCGGCACTGCTTTCAGGAAAGCGCCCCTCAGCTGGCAGGTGCCCCTTGGTTCTGAGACCTTCCTCCTACTTCCAGAAGTAATGGCTGCAGTTCGAGCTCTGGGTTTCCCTCTGGGTTATCCTGAGAAACTCCTAATAATGCTGCACAACCTGATGCACATCACCTCGACTGTGAAATCTCAGCCATTCCCAGGCTGTGTTAGTCATCTCTGCTTCTACAATTCCTTGTGGCCATCTCTACAAGGAGCATCACAAGAATGTCACACAGACCCACCCATCCGTCTATTTACCTTATAAGTGTGGCCAACACTGTGAGATAAAATTGACAGTTAACAACTAAGCTTGGAAATTCCCTAGGATCTGGAGGTCAAGCAAGAATGCAGAGACAAAGATAACAGGGAAGTTTTGAGGTTTTAACACCAAGAGAAGTTTACTCCCATGTACAAAAAAAACTTACTGAAACCAAAAGGAAAGGCTAGGAAAGCTGGGTCACAGAGACAACTGATGAGCTCTGACTTTATATACTGAGTCTGAGGAAACCCAGGTGAAGGTAACAAGCTTAGGAGGAAAAATGATAGTGGCCCAGCCCTTGGGGTGGAGGAATAAGTGGAGTAGCCAGAATGGATGGGTTTACCTAGAGATAAAGTCTTGGGCAAAGAGAAGATGATGAAAGACAGGATCCTGAGCAAGTATTTTAAGACCACAGAAAAGGAGTCACAAGAATTAGGAAGAAAACAAGGGTAATGCAGCAAGAAGGCAAGTGGGGGGATTTCTAAGAAGAAAGTCAATACTCCAGTGGCAAAGGAGAAGGATCATTCACAAGTCGTCATCGGCTATATAGCCCGTGGAAAGGATAGAAAGAACGCACCTTTGGTACCTGGAGGTGGAGAGAGAGCGCTAGGGATTCAAAGTCCAGAAGGACAAGTGTTGTCAATGATGGAATTCTCTCAAGAAGTTGTACTATAAAGGGAGAGAGAAGACAGCATGGGACCAATACCTTCAAGGGACAGGAGGCCAGTTATTTTCCCAGAATAGATTAAAAACAATTTTTTTCATCAAATAAAGAAATTACATTTAGATATTTAATCAAGTCTAATATTTACTAAATTCCTAAATGCAATATGTACAGGGAATCTCAAGTAAAAAAGGTACCAGGCATGTTTTGGGCCAGCCAGGCTTTCCAAAGTGAATGCTTATTTTTAAGACAACAAAAATACTATGGAATTCCTAGTATTTAAAAAGAACTTTTAAAAACAATACACTAGTATTTCGGGATTACAGATTGTGAGTTTAATGTTTTAATTCTACAACGATCTGCATAATAATGGCTTTTGCACATATTTAATACTTTTTCACCTACCTCTCTTTACTGGTGAAAATTACATGCTAAAAATTGCCAAGACCAGCACTGCTTTGTACTTGAAATTAGCTCAGAAAGAGTCTTTCACATCCTCCCCTAGATACTCACAGTTAGCCCAACCCATACTTTGGGTCTGCTCAAGTGAGCGTCATTAACATGGCTATCCCAGACTCAAGCCAGCATCTTACAGTGTGTCAACCCATCCAGTAAAATTCTGGAGAGCATGCAAACTTTTGGGGTGAAGGATTCAGAGAGTTTTCAAGGGTCTATCAAAATTCTCATATGTATGTACTGGGACTGGTTTTAGAATTCTGAGCACATACAATCACCACCCTCATCCTCACTTTTATACCTTTATTAACACCACCAATTTTTCTAGCATTGGCTATGTGCTAAATATTTCATAAACATTATTTCATTAACTTATCCCAGCAATACTCTCCCTATTTGACAAATGGTAAAGTTGATGGTTAAGGATTTTTAGCGGCTTGCACAGGTCAAGAGCTAGAAAGCAGCATAGGGATTTGAACCAGATGTGTTTGATCATCAAATGTGAATATATCTAGGAACAGTGATGCACTTTCATAATATCACGTAAAATACCATTTTCAAAATATTTTAAGAATATTTTACTTCTCAAAATGACCCAATTAAAACAGGTATATTTATTTTTCAGTATTTGTATTAATTTGACCCACAGGACACTGAACCTCGGAAATGTGCGCTAGGCACTCAGCTAGCAATAAATCAAGCCAGCATTCAAGCCTGGTGTCCAACTCCAAAGCTCAATCCCTTCATTCTTCAAATTACTTTACACTGGAACATCAAGCCTGTTCATAAAATCTAGCCTCTGCTAATTGACCACATATCTGTATTATAACCATTTTGGTCATTTGTTTTTTTGCTTTATCAGTCAGAAAAATAATAATTTCCAATGGTTTCTAAAATCCAGTAATCCACATTAGAGACGGATCAACCAGATCATTTGAAACAACGCTCTGGGGTCAATCATTTTTAGAACCAAGAGCGGAGCAGACCATTTTTAGTTTACTATTTTGAGGTTCTGAAATGTTCGGTTGTTTTTGTTCCCTTTGGTCCGCCGCCAGAAACAGAGGCGTAAGGGCTCAAATGCCAAATGAAAGGGTGTTCTCACAGTGTTTCTGGCCAGGACCGGAGTAGAAATATCGGAAAGCTCACAAGCAAAGCTGTTCTTCTGAGATTTTCATCCCAAACCTGCAAAAGCAAGATGCTTGCAAAAAAAAAAAAAAATGTAAGTAGTTATTCGAAGCAAATTCTTACAGCAAACATTGCCCAAACCAACCATGAACGTTACACACCCATCCATGTCAAGACTATGCATTCACCACATAGGTATAGCCTCTCCTACTTAATGCTTGAAGAAATAGGTGATGATTTTTCAAATACACTTCAACCAGAGATACACTTTACCACTTTTGCATCATTCCCTGAGGACATATGAGATGCCAAATATTTCCCTTAGAATAAGTTCAGATCAGCCAAATGAGGCTAATGTTGCCCAAAAAACCTATGTACTTATATTGCTTCCCAAACAACTTCTTGTTTCCAGAGAAATAGTGTTACTCTCCCACACCATCGTATTTATTTTTAATACCCCCATATACAATTTCTACCAAGTTTATTTTTGACTATTGGATTAATTTAGTTCTAATCATAACTTGCATTTCTGATTTCCTCCCATCCCAGGGGTTACAAGGGTAAGGTATGATCTCACAAAAGTTACTGTCTTTTATTTAACAACCATGGGCTTGTGAATTTCTACTCTTTAGTTACTAATTTTATTTCTAAATTGATGGTTTGATTTCTATTTGTGTTCTATCTCCATCAACTCATCAATCGAATCATTTCTAACATGAGAGTCCATTTAAACTAGCAGTTCAGAAAAAGAGCAGATATCCTTCAGGATGATCAGAAAGGTTGGGTCTTCAGAAAGACCAAAACACACAGTACATGCCCTGAAGGAGGTTCTAGAACTTTAGAAGGGATGTTAACCATCACAGAGAGGAGTGGCCCCAAAGTGATCTGTTAATCATCAGTCATTAATTGCCACTTGAAAAGAATTTGGCAGAGAACTTTGAGAAACACTGTTCTGCATGTTTAGACGGTTCATTTACTTCAAGTCCTTAAGGAATCTCTCTTGTGCTACGGGTCCCAGCAACAGTTTGGAGAGGAGCGTAGTGCCCTGCTGCCGAACGTGAGTGACTGGGGCTCGGTCTGGCTTCCACTGGAACTCCCACGGGGCCACTGCTCCTTAGGATCCACTTTGGGGAGCTCTGAATTAGAACAACCAAGGTCTGCTGGAAGAAAAAAAACAGTGAACCTCTTCTGCGCACTGTGCTGGCACCTTAAAGACGTTGCTGTATTTCAGCTTCACAGTAACACTGTACAATGGATAGGAAATGCTAGTCCTGTTTTACAAATGAGGACACTGAGGTTCAGTGGAGTTCTCAGGAGTCATTGACCCCAGCTGCTTTTGAACTATACTGGGACCAACCTCTGACCTATTGAACCAGAGTCTCAGCAGTGTGGCCCAGGTGTATACATGTATGCGTAGAGCTCCACAGATGGTTTTGTCATACAGCTGTGGTTGAGAACTGCTAGGATAAGCCATTTCCCCGGGGCTATGTATTTTGCAAGTGAGAGAGCTGAGACTTTGAATTAATTCTGCCTTCTGATGCCCAAGTCCAGGGCTGTTCCTACTGTCACACGCCACCCATGAATGATTCCTTGCTCCTGGGTGTCTCCAGGTAAAAACCTGGAAGTTGTCAGAAGGTATACACTGGCTGATTGGTGCCCTTTCATGATCAGGGTTCAGGTGGAATGGTAACCTCTAAGATAGCAGGTAAACAACATGATTCTTTAGAAATAAAAGTCAATACATTAAATTACACACTGACTTCTTACAAAACCACCTAAAGACATGCCTTTAACACGGAGTTGGTGTTGTCAAATATGAAAGCTTTCCTTTCCATTATCAAATGGAGGTATTGTTCCACTTCTCCCAAGCATTTATATATGGATTTTAAATGTTTGGCGACTTATGCTTACAAGTGTAAATTAAACTATGTTCTCATATATAACATAAGCCCTTTCCCTTGGCCTCTCTAAAATCCATGAAAACATTCCCTTTTCACTTACAATAGTGAGTTTTCCAAGTTTGCCTGCCTGTCCTTTCATTCTGATTGTGGATGTTCTGGTTCAACTTCCATTTCTGCACTAAAACTGCTTGTTAAAAAAACACTGTCTGTGATTATTAACCTCTCTGCTGCTCCTTCCTCTGGTGGCAGAAAACAACTGGACAGATTCCCAGTTTATGTACAAATTCAAGTGCCTCAAACCCTAATGGACGGGAGGCAGAAAGGTGCTTTTGTATTGATTACTTTTCTAAAGCAGTTGTTCTACCCCGCAGACATTTTCTATCTTCCATTAATCGCGTTAGGTCTTCTATGCTTTGCTGGTACCTCTGTTAATAAGGAAAGTCTACCAGGTCTTAACCAGGTAGAATGCTCTTCACTAAGACCACTCAACAGGTTAATACACTTCTCCATCATTCCCTGAACTTTGAAACAAGGCCAGCAAATGTGCAAACTGAGGGAAAACATATCTCTTTCTCTAAAATGAGTTAAGAAAATTACTTAGCAGAAAGGAGCAAAGGAGAATTCATCAGGAAATTGGCTTGCCCTGTTGGACTTCCAGGTCAAATGCCTGTTTTGGGATACATTGTGCATATTTTGGTAATATATTAGTAGTCACTCAGTTCAGCCTAATGGCTCTTTGAAGGCCGTTAAGGTGTACAGAGTAAATACATTCTTTTGGTATGTGTGCTAACTTGAAAAAAGCATTCTTTTATTTATAATGCACTCTTTGCAGTCAGAACCTACTACTCCAGAAGTAGCCCGCTGTTTGGATTGGGCAGTTTGCAGAGAGAAGGGAAATGAAGCTTTGCAGGTGAGAGTTTTTGCTACGTCTAGGCAAGTTCTGGTCAAAAGCATTTGAATGTTGAGAAACTAAATGCTTTATGGGTTACTCACGCCATCTAAGAGTTGCAAGCAATCCCTGACAAAAACAAGCTAACAATATCAGTAAGAGTTAAGAGTGAAAACCTTTGTGACATTGAGTATTAAATGCTTCATAAATTTGGGGGGAACTCTTGAACAAGTGGGGGGTGCCACATTAACTGGTTTCTAATTAATCAGATTAGAATAACTTTTTTTAAAAATAGAGACTATTTGTCAACTCTACTCATTCTAACAGTGAGGAGCAAAAAGTCCAGACACTAAAATGACTCATCGACAACCCCCGAGCCACAGGGCAGGAGCGTTAACGCTGATGCATGTCTTACTGCCTCCATGCTCTCGCCCTTGCAAGGCTTGTCTATGCACCAGAAGAAGCAATAAATGCCGCTCACATCTACAAAATTTCACTGAAACATTAAAAAACCCACTGTCATGGGCCACTTCCTAAAGAATCCTCAATCTGGTAAGAGACATCTTTTGACTCTCACATGCTCTGATGCCAGCCTTCCCCATCTCTCCCCGCCAGATAACTCCAACTCATGATCTAAAGTTTCATATCCATACCACTACCACCTCCTCTGAGACACCTCCCCTGTCACTTCCCCACCCCCCATCCACTGGGTTCCCCCACTCAGTGCTCCTATAAGGCACCCCTACATTTACTGCATGTGGTTCTCTGCGTGCGATCTTCACTCTGGACTCCAGCTCTTTGAAGTTGGGAACCATGTGTTATTTACCCTTGTGTTTTAAAATGCCCATATGAGGACAAACAGATAAGAGCTCAGTGTTTGTTGAACAAATGGAGAAACAAAGCATTCATACCCCAGAAAATTCCCTTTCCAAAATGTGACTACAGTGTGCTTTCTCGTTCTAACATAAGTAAAAAGAATGCAAATTTTCTTTTTTTTTTAATCTTAGGAATCACAAGCATATAACTTTTTGCTTCATTAACACACAACACCAAAGGATATTAAACATTATAAGTGAGACTTTTTTAATATTATTGCTATGCTACTAAGCTGTCCTCTCCCAACTGGAAAGATTCTGAGGATCATGAAGGTGGTAGAAGGGAACTGTCATAGTCTACCACCTACTGCTGACTAGGAATTTTAATCTAGCTTCACAGGTGAAGAAATCCAGTGATGTGGAGATCAAAATAACTCCCCAAAGGTCACACTGCTACAAGTGTGTAGCTAAGTCAGGATTAGAACTCGCTTCCATCTAAAGGTCAGACCACATCCTTCCCACTGCACCAAACTCGCCTCAAACACATACATCGTCCTACTGATTTTATAGGTTTACAGATTTAGAGATGTTACAAGCATCCAAGAATCCATAATGAATTTTTAAAATATTTTGCATGTGACAGATTCACAGCTCTGCTTATAAAGGACTATATCAAAGTGAGTTTCACTATTTCAAATAACTGGTGCTTGATTGCTTCAGAGAAAAGAAACAAATAGTCAAAGATATAAAAAGCCTTGGCTCTGAGCTCTGCTCACACCTTTAAAGGCTATGGACCGTGGCCTCTGGCTCAGAGAAGGCCCTAGATGAATTCTATTTTCCTCCTCCCTCATCCAGCAGTGCACGGCTTTGCAATCCTTCCCTTAACTGCCCATTGCTTCTTTTACCAACCCCGTCTCATTTCAAAATATCATTTTTTATGAAGGGTAATGTTATACGGTAGAAAACTGTAAAAAATTAATGGATAGACTTGATATCAAGAAAGTACATTATTTCAATAGTTTTATTATTTTTTGTCCATACCCATTTACAGGTTTTGTTGTTTATGTGGATATGTTTTATAGATGGCTCTGTTCAGAATGAATTACTTTAACACTTTGATCATTGAGAAATTTAAATCAACACTTCACTTGCTTTCCACAGGAAGCACTTTTTTCTAAAAGATATACCTAGATTGTTCTTATTCTCTTTATTTAAAAACCGTTGGAAGCTCTCACGGAAGATGGCATATAAAATTATCTTGAAGGTTGAATGAATGTCATTAGCCCATTAATTCAGTTTCTAAAAGTCCAGCAACCAGTATCCGTTAGAACATCTATTTTTCTCAATACTTGCTGCTGTTTGTCACTGAGTCTAATGCCAAGAACAGTGTCTTACCCAGCACGTGCACTAAAAATGTGTGCTCCGTGAGAAAATGCTCTCTAGGAATCTGCGCTCAGTCATCTTGGATATTTCTCCTGCGTTTGAATATTTATTCTATCACTTAGTCTGTCAGTTAGACTCTAGCTAAATGAAGCAAAAGAAAAGACGAAAATTCTTGGAAGGATAGAGAGGGTTTTAGACCCAAAAACTGGTCACTTCAGACATAAAAAGACAAAACCAGACACTGGATGGCTTCAGGGCCCGAGGTCGCAGGCATTAGTCAACAGCGACTGCATACTCTCTTCCAAGCATATTCCCATTTGTGTGCCCCTCCGCTCACCATTCGGCTTCCCAGCAGAGACAGCCCGAGTGGCTAAGCTGGGGCTGCTACCCGTGCCGGGGTTGGAAAGGGGGCAGGCAGTGGACTCAGCAAGACCCCACCTGAACATCACGGACTAGAACCAAGCAGGGGTGGGTCCCAAAGGAAAATTCAGGTGTCCCTCCTGAATAAAGACATGGATGACAAAATCAGCAAAAACCCATTGAGTCTCTGATAGCAAAGCAGGTGCATTTGGTATCTTCCAATAAGGTGATAGAATTCTTGCATATCAATTTTTCTATCCATTATATGAATAAGGCAGTTCTATATGTTTTTTATGATTGCATGCTTCCTCCTGTGTTCTCCTGATTTCTCATGCCCCTCAGTCAAGTAATAGGGAACTGACTAGTGAATATAAAGAATGAGTCACAAGGGAGGCTAAAGAAGTGGATTTTGGATGAGCAAGACTTTAAAATCATTATATCACATAAGATATGAAGTATTCAAGCCATACTAATTAATGAATAATCGTGTTTATAAGAACCTTTTTTAATGTGTGAGTCTCCATAAAAAGTATCTAAGTGACAAATCTTATACTCAGGTAAACATAGAAATGGACAAAGAGTTCAAAGAATCCATAAAACAAGATTTAAGGCAAACAGAGAAAAACAGTACAGTGTGTGGGATGCGGGCAGAAGGCAGCTGGTTCTCTTCCATAGTCCAAAACTTTACTCAGGCTACTTTCCTCTAGCAAGTTCTTGCTTTCTCTGGCAACAGCCCGTTCAAATACCATCTACTTTTAAATACTCCCCTTATCTCTTAATTCAACTAGCCAAGCCTTCTGTCCTGTTTCTATAGTATTTTGTACATGCAAATTTAAGAGCTTTATTTGATTAACTTTTTATCTTAATGTACAATAATAACTGCTTACATTTATTGAGCACTTGGATGTACTTTTTTAACACTTAAAAGTATTGTTTTATAATAGCTATCATATTTTTATAAATTATATTTGCAAACATTTGTTTAAGTATTATATTATTTTATGGCATTATAAGTATTATTTTATCACTGCATAACCCCTCTGGGGTAGGTCTTCTGGTTGTCTCCATGTCATAAGTTGGAGATGGGGCCTCAGAGTTCAAAAAAATGTTTGCAGCATTGCCTGGGAATCAAGGAGTCGCAGAGAGCCCAAGGGTGTATGAGTGTAGAAAAAAGTAGACTTTGCCAACGATGGTGGGGGTCTGGGGGTAGGGTGGGGAAGAAAACAGGAAAACTGGAGTTGCAAGGTTTGTGCTTAAGGACAAGGACTTCCGCCTAACAGTTACTAAACAGCCGAATGACCAGGAGCTTTTCACTTTTGCTTCTGAAGACTTCAGCAAGAACATTATATATATATGTATATTTGTATTTGTATGTATTCATATACATGTATATATCATCTGTTTGAATATTAAGTATTTAAATTAAAATTTTTAAATATTTATATTCATCAAGGAGTATCTTCAACCTCAATTGTTCACAAACCACTGATATGTTTTGACTCAATCAGCCCCCATGATTACACATAAATGGTGCATACTGCAAGAGCACAATCTTAACAGAGAAAACATTAATATACACACGTGCCTCAGGAGAATATTTTCTCAGGTTTCTACTGTAATTTTCGCTAACTGTTAAACCTGTGGTCAGCCCAGCTCAGCTTGTTGGATATCTCGAAATCCCAAGGTTCCCCTTCTCTTTGGCAGCAAGATGCGATCAAATGTTCTTTGATTTGATTCTAAATCTGTAGTGCCCTACCAAGTTTTCAACAAAACATTGTTTTAACAGAAGTGGCAAAATATTCAGCACAGTGTCTTCCAGCCATTAGCTATTGTCTGTATTGAAATTGTAAAACTGCACATGGACTGTAAGTGCCCTAGGAGCAGGACCTGAGAACCATTCTGTTTTCCTTCTGAGACCAGTAGAGAGACAGGTGATATTTTGAAGAACCAATCTAATAAAGGGATTTGAACTACATTAGGCAACCTAAATATAGAACAATTAATTTTTTCTTGCCTTTTCATTAAATGATTAAGTCAGTGTGAAACAGTCAAGTTCAACCCCATCAGGATGCCTGTCCCGGGCAAATAATAATATAACCAGTAATCAGAGGTTTCCACTTTTTGTCCTTACAGAAGTCATCAATCATGAGAAGAAATATGCTTGTTCAATATCATATACTACTAATATCTTGAAAGGCATGCATCTCAGAATCCGGATTCCATCCTGAGAGTTAAAATGGCCCCACTGCTTGCTTTCAATTAACAGAATGACTGCTTTATAATGAAACTTATAGTGTCTCCCATTTGAAATTTATACCCATGATTCTTGGCATAGGATCAGGGAATGAGGGGGGAGGTGGAGCAGGGCATATCATAATCTCCGAGGAGAAAGCAGGACCGATTAGTAAAAGCATATGTACTATATATCATAATTACAGATTTTGAAAAGAAAATAGAAATTTTTCATAATACAAATTACAAAACTAAAGCTTGGTTGTATCTTTTTGATTATAACAAATGGTTGTCCAAGTCTTCAGGGCACGGAAGAGGGCTTGAGATTTTTATGTTTCTCAGAAGAAGGTTAGTTGCAAATCTAGTGGAGAAATCCTAATACAGAAGATGGACATCTTTGCTTTCTGCAGACTTCAGCCTTGCGTAGCCCTCCTTAATTTGGTTTGTAATCAAGTTAACAGCCCCATAGAGATTAGATTCTAAAAGGTAAAACCAAATTTACCGTTGGTAATCTTTTAAACCACCAGTAGCATAGAGATGTATGCATGGTGGTGAACAGTCTTACTTCCTACACAACCTCTACAGCAAGATGCTCACTCCATAAGCAGGGAATAGCGGTTTGCTGAGAGTCACTGAGGGGCCATCAGATCCAAACATTTTTCCAATGCTTCTCACCTCCAGAAAAAAGCAAAATGCGCGGAATGGGATGGAAGGCAAAATTAGCTACCCTATTTAATTTTTGTGTCAAGAGCAAATAGTGAATTTGCCTACGTAATTAACTTGGGAGGCAATTCCTCTGCATATGCAGGAAGGGAGGGGGCAGAAAGAACATTTGGCCCAAGTATGGTCACTGATTTCACACTTTCTAGCAACACTTAAATCCTCAATTACATTTTGCTATCCTGTCTCACCTGTATGAATATAAATCCCTTTTGTAATGAAGGTGGTGAAGGAGATAACAATTACTCTATAGAGATACTGTCCTTAAAAGACTTTATTAAATCATTATATATTTTTCCAATGCAAAATTATTTTCTAACACATACACATGAAATCCAACCAGTACAGAAAGGAATTAACAAATGAAAATTATCCAAAATCAAGGTAAGCATTAAAGCATTAAGGACAGACCAAGAGTCAGGAATTCAGTAGAGGTCAGAGATGCCCGCTGCACATATTTCTTAGTGAAAATTTTTTTAAGTGGGGATTTTACATCTTGACTGGGGCAGCATACATCAATGGTATAGAGCAAGCTCAAGAAATGCTTGCCAGATGAAGATTTGGTAGATCAGAGGGTTTGTTCGAGGTTTTAGACTTGATGGCAAATTCAATGCAATATTCCCTTCACAATCTTGCTGCTCTTGTTGTTGAGAATTTCCATGATATTTTGTCTCCAAAACTTACCAATATTGAAAATTAAGTATCTCGAATAAGAATTTTTTCTTTAAACCTAATGCAAGTTGAGCAAGAAATACCATTGCCCTTTGCACCATATTACATCAAAAAATAGAAGTATTTGACATGGCATATCTTCTTTTCACCGTGATGACCTCCCACCTTTACTATGGTGCTGTCATTCTTAGGTGACACCTGCTTAGCTTGCACCCCAGCAGCTCAGTGTGTGCCATGCAGCAGCAGATGGCTTGAGGCGTGACGTGTTAATGGCAGTGATTACTTTATGAATAGTGACAGCTGATCAGGGACATAATAAAACAATAGTGGCTGCCATCCTGGAAAAGGTGCTAAATAGGGGTGACACGCTTAGTGAGGGCTATACCTCTCTCTTGAACCTCATTATCAATTCCAAAGGGATACGCAGGCCAGTCAGGCAATGGCAAGTTCAGACACAGGAGGGAACGGAACCAGCAAGAAGATTTCCCTCCTCTTTAATTGGAGTGGGAGAGGGTGAACAGCTTCTAATGCACAAGCCATTTGGGTACATGTTAATGTGTCTTCCCAGTCTTACTTCTCATTTGCTATCCTCTGAGCTCGCCACATGATCTTCACCACTTTTAAGAGATCTAATTCCCACTGTTCTTTCTTTCATGAATCACCGCCTTAAGACAGGAAATCACCTTGACAAGAGAAAGAGGAAATCAGCTTTGTGTCTAGTGAAACTCGATTTCTGAGAACCAAGAATATTTTGAACAAATTTCTCTCTTGGATTTATGCCTCTAGAAAAGATTATGTGAAAGGAGTCACAGATAGGTTTCTCTTAGGGGTTATTCATTCATTTCACAAACTGGACACTAGAGAATAAAGTGAAGAAAGTGGAAGTTTTTATCTTCAAGGAGTAGGAGAAGGACACATCTGTAAAACAGTCAATTATGATAATCTAGAGCAATGATCTTCTGTGTTGAGTGTAAGATTAGTTTGGCATTTGACCAACAGTCTCACCAATTTAAACATACATATGTGTGCATATATGTTTATATATGTTTCTGTGAGAAATATATACAAATACAAATCTATATTAAATTACCTAATAAAATGAACATTCAATATTCCAATACATTTATCCAATTGTAGTGATTAATTCTGGATTATCAATATGCCTTCTTAAAATATTGAGGTTTTACTAATTCAGAGGAACATGAGATTTTCCATTTCAAATTTGTTCTTTTGAGGCTTCCAGTGAGTTTTGCTCTTGTTTCAATTGTTACCCATGTGCCACATATTACATTATTATATTTTACAATATAATATTGTATTACGATATATATCTATCTTTACAATATGTAAAATATTAATATGATAATAATATACATAAGGTTTTCTAATAATCTAAAATAAAAGGCATTCTATATAGAATGCTTTCTACTTCCCTTGATGAGAAGGAGTGAAAAGAAACATTCAAGTGAAACATTCAAGTAGATTTAAGAGCATATATCCTTCAGTATCTGAGCAGAATAAATGGATGTGTTATCTGCATTTAAGTTCTACTGAGCTCATGACCCAGGGACCTCAAAAGGCCAGCTGGTATCATGCTACGTGAACAGGCATCAGTTCTGTACATGTGATCTACCACCAAGAGTCTCCTTATAAGTCTCAGGACCAAACCAAGTGATGTCATCCTGCCTATTACACTATCTTCCCAGGGTGACGATTTGAGAATTACTGTATTATATCTGCCCTGGAGACATTTAAAGGTCCTGATATATTCCAGTGATTTTACTTAACCTAGTAATTAGTTTATACAGTTTTATGAGATTTTACTGCTTTGGAGATGACAGTTTTTCTTTTCAAAATTAGTTCTGATAGTCATTTCATTTCATGGTTTATGAAAGATCTGATGTGTTGGTTAAAAGATACTCATTTAAGAATATGGAAAAAAATCCCCTTTCACTAAATGAGTGCTATTTTGTACATTATCACTTTTTAAAATTGTTTAACCCATATCCTGGGTGGGATTGTTTAAGAGAAGGAAAGAGCAGTTTAGATGTATGGCTGACTCTTACTAATAGAAAGAGTTTTACATTAAAATGCAGGAAAATGACTTAACAGTTTCCAAGGGTCTGAAAATGTTACACATGGATGTATGCCAAGTAGAAACCCCTCACCCCATAGGCCTGTTAAAACAGTGAATAAACATTTATTGAGCATCTTCTATGTTCCTGACACTGTCCTAGGCACTAAGACTTGGCAGTGAAAACAAAATAATTTCCCTTCTCTCTTGAAACATATATTCTAGACATTTAAAAAAGTGAATGAGCAAAGATAAGTAAATAACTGCAAAGAGAGGAGAAAGAATGACAGTGAGACCAGAGAAAGCTTTGTGGGGAGTGGGGACAAATAAGCAGAAACTTAAGTGAAATGAAGAAATAGCCCATGCAAAACATAGGAGAAGAATGTTCCAGAAAGAGGGACTAGAGCAACTGACACAGATCTAAGGAAGATCTGAAGGCAATGTGTTCATAGCATAGTGAGTGTATACTTCCTGATTGCCTTAGTACCTGGATTTCATTGATTTATTCACATTTAAAAAATCAGGGATGTTTCCAACCAAGAAACAGGTGCCGTGAAGCTTCTTTGTTATTTCAACTATGAATATAAGTACGTGAAAATTTCTCAGGCCCAGCAGTGAAAAACCACTTATAGGAAACCTTTTTTTTTTCAGATTTCTAAGACCCAAATAAAATAATCTGTGTACCAATTACCTCCAAAAGCATGGTAGTGGTGGTACAGCCAGCTTGAAATGTAAGATTCAAGAGAAGAGAAAATGCTTTTGATATTGAATGTTAAGAAATAGCTTCATTAACCATCCACTCTTTCCCTTATCAGTTAGTTTTAAACTTCAGAAGTAGAATATGAATACTTTCTTTTTAAATACATATACTGTTAAAGAGAAAATACTCTCATTGACCCTATTAGCAATGTTGGTTCCATCCTAACAGCTTTGATAAAGAACTACTCCAGATACAAATCCTTCCAGAATTTATGGTATAGTCTTATATACATTTTTATGAACCAGGGAAAATGTATTCCACTGTTTTTATTGTTTCTTTGTTGTTGTTGTTGTTGCAAAAGCATCCCAATGCCCTGAGTATTTTGAAACATGATTATTTTTCCCTAACATGTTGTTGAGAGCTAGCCTCATTGTTACAAATAGTCTTAACTCATCCCTTTTAACTGCTTTATAGTACTCCACACCACAGGATATTCATCCATTCCCTTGTGATGGCCGTTTAGATTGTTTCCAAGTTCTTACTGTTGCAAACAATGCTTTCAATGAACATTGCTGGTGCATGTTCCTTGTGTACACAAGCAACTGTTTCTCTAATGTAGCTACCTTAATCAGCACCTTTTTCCCTTAAAGTTTCCATCTTCTCTTCTCTCCTTCTCCACCAAGACCAAAATAAACATCACTGAAAGGATGCTGCTTTATCTCCTTGACACCCAGTTCCAAACTCTAGAGCCAAACTAAGCCTGCTTATTCAGGGTCACGGAGGCAGTTCCAAGAACAGAGGTTACCACCCTCCAGTCTCTGGCTTCACCCTGTGCTGAAGATGACCCTTCAGAAAAACATGTGTGGAAAAATTAGTTGTGCCTCTGTAAGCCAACAGAAAGCTGGCCCTTGAGGTGACTTCTAAAGGAATTTTCTAAGTCATGAGCAGAACAGCAAGGGTTCCGACTAGGCATGGAATTCAGAATCGTAATAGAAAACATTTATTTGG